GAAGCAGCAGTCAAGAAATCAAATGACATATTGCATTAGGCAAATCTTCTGCAAAAGAACTTTTTTAAAGTGTTGAATAGTAAAGATGTCAGCTTGAAGATTAAGGTGCACCTGACCCATGCCATGGTACTTTCAATAACCTCATATGCATGCGAAAGCTGGACAGTGAATAAGGAAGACAGTAGAAGAATTGACGCTTTTGAGTGATGGTGTTGGAGGAGAATATTGAAAGTACAATGGGCTGCCAAAAGAACAAACAGATCTGTATTGTAAGAAATGCAGTCAAGTGTTCCTTGGAGGTCAGGATGACCAAACTTCGTCTTCCATACTTTGGACATATTGTCAGGAGGGACCAGCCACTGGAGAAGAATATAATGTTTGGTAAAGTGGAGGGCCAGAGAAAAAGAGGAAGAGCCCCAGCTAGATGGATTGGCACAGTGGCAGCATCAATGGACTTAAGCGTGGCAACAATTGTGAGGTTGGCCCAGGATCTGGCTATGTTTTGTTCTGTTGTGCATAGGTTCATTATGAGTCACTAATGACTTGATGGCACCTAACAACAACCGACAAATTTATGCACTTGAGTTATGTTGTTGGATGAGAATATTGAAAGTACCATGGACTGCCAAAAGAACAAATAGATCTGTGTTGAAACAAGTAAACTCAGAGTGTTCCTTGGAAGTCAGGGTGGCTACACTTTGTCTCTAATACATATTGTCAAGAGAAAACAATCCCTGGAAAAGGATATTATATTTGGTAAGGCAAAAGGCCGAAAAAAAAAGGCAGAACCCCAGCGAGTTGAGTTGGTACAGCAGGAGCATCAATTGGTTCAAATGTAGCAATAATTTTGAAGTTGACTGAAGACTGAACAGTGTTTTGTTCTGTTGTGCATATGATTGCTCTGAGTCAGTACTGACTTGATGACACCTAACCACTACAACAACAAAATCTGATAATGTGCCACAGATATTCATAATGTTTTGAGTGACTAAATATTTGGAAGTTATCTATCAGTCCTTCTTTCTAGTCTGTTTTAGTCTGGAAGCTCATTTAAAACTTGTCTACCATAGGTGACCCTGCTGGTATTTAAAATACCAGTGGCATAGCTTTCAGAATCCCAATAACACAAAACCCACCACAGTACAGCAAACAGATGAGTGATGGTTGGGTTCATGGATATACCATCTATGTCTTAGAATATTACCAGACATGAATTTTCAACTTCGTTCATCCTCTTTCCATAGACCATAACTGTTCTTCAGGTCAAATTTTAATATTAGAAATAAGAGCCATGGTCAGATAATAATGGATCAACTTTTGTGGTACCTCGGTACTTGGAAAAGAAACAACTGAAACTAATTCATACACTCAGGGCCTGAAAGTACTGCAATTTCTTGTAGTAAAGTCTGTGCCCAGATATATGTGCTGGGGATGGATGAAGTGTTAAGCAGAGTGATGCACAACCTGAGTACAGGTTGATTTTGCAAAAAGATAGGACCATCACCAATGTGTACTCATGTAAGATGATATTATGTGCCGTGGAGTCGGTTCCGATGCATAGCGACCCTGTACAGGATTTCCGAGGCCATAAATCTTTACGGGAGCAGAAAGCCTCCTTTTTCTCCCATGGAACAGCTGGAAGTTTCGAACTGCTGACCTTGTGGTTCACAGCCCAATTCGTAACCACTACGCTACCAGAGCTCCTTTAGATGACATTAGCACCTTGTAAAACCTGGTGGTAGAGCTATACAAATGCATTTGGGGGATAAGGAAGTATTTCCCGGGCCCTGTGGAGAGCCTGGGGTGTCCATAGGACCACTATAGTATAAGCAAGAGTCACATAACCTTTCTGCACATGTGACTTTCATGTCTGCCATGAAGAAAAGAGATTAAAATGGCCTGAACTCTGTGGCCAGCCAGACTGATTGTGGGAAGAATGAATGTGGCATCAGTGTGCTGGCCTCACTCATCTCAGTGGCCCCTGCAACCTAGTTTATGCTGTCTGAGATATCTGAACCTGGGGCTAGCTACCCTGGCAAGAGCAGTTTCTTAATTAGAAAAAGTGATTTATTTCAACATTGTAGAAAACAGTTTGCAGAACATGGAAGAAACCTGTTGCAGACCGTGTAGACCTGGTCAGAAGTTCGAGGCCCACAGGGCCCTAGTGTTGCAGACCATGCAGGCCACAGGCTCTGAGGAACAGATTCTAGCCACCTAGACATAGCAAGCTGTTTTTCATCTTAGTGTTCAGTTATGTTTTTTATTTAAATCCAAACATGAGCCCTTAATATCCACAGATAAATGTAATATTTTCCTAAAGCGAGACTGTAAAGGTTTCAAGGGTAAGCTTTTCTCCAAAGGATTAACTAAAAATAGCTTGGCTACTTCCCGGTTTTTTGTTCTATAGACAAAAGGACATCCTCCCTAAATCTGTCCCAGATGCAGGCTATTCAGCCAAGTTCCTGAAAACCTGGCTCAGGAAGCCAACACAGCGGGACTCCTCCCAAGCCTTTTGACCTTCCCTCTCACCTTCTCCCAACTGAGCTCAGGGGCTATAGATATGTTAATTGAGCCTGAGAAACCAAGTCGAGGGGCCTGGGATTCGAACCAGCAAAGTACGATGTAAAGTTGC